CTCTCTTCTACGACCCTTCCTTGCGCTCTCTTTCATGTCATCACCTCAGCTGACTGACTTTGCGCAGTACCTCACTGACAACGAACTTCTCCTAGTCGTCGTCGAGGCTAGCATTCAGACTTCAGTCTTTGCGGTGCGGGGGCTCGCACCTGCAGCACCGATTCGTCGAATGTTGTTGTTTGAGATTTGCCATTTGCAGTGCCTTCCTCTCGATCTTCTCCTCGAAGGTTAACCTGGCCCACACCAGTTTGTAGCCATTTCTAGTATTAAATGATGGCCCTTCCGCTATATCAGATGATGCGGAGTTCATCGAAAAGAGCAGAGTCGTTTTCGTTGTTCGGACGCGATCCGTGCCAACTTCTTGTTGCACTTTTTCTTGAACCACGTGTTTCAAATATACAAATAGTTTGTTCCTGCCACGGTCTCAAACCGATTTCTTCCCTCACTTCGATCTGCAGAGACGTACCTGCCGACGAATGTCTTACCGGCCCTTCCTCATCTCACCTTGGCATTGGAGTCTCCAGTGACAAGAGTATACGTAGACTTTGGGGCCAACAACTGTTATAGATTTTGATAGAATTCTTCCACTTTCTTCTTCGGATGTACTTGTAGTAGCATATGTTCGAACGATTCTCAAGGTCCTTTTATTGTTAAGCTGGATGTACAGCACGTCCAGCCTTGGTGACTTTACGTGGCAGAAGACAATTTTGGAGAACCATCTTATGTTGACTACAAATGCAATTCCTCCTTGTTCTTCGCACCCTCTCCTTTACCTAGCAAAGACGACCCACCGTCTTTCCGGACGCGATTTATATCCTTTCGCAGTCATGTCTCGCAGAGACCGAAGATTTACCAGACTATCCATGACTCCATCCACTGGTGGCTTAACTTTTCTTCCCTCACCGTTGTTCTACAGTTGTAAGTGCAAACGACAATGGAAATCCGTTTGAGCTTGTCAGAAGGCGACCTTACACCTGAGATTTTTATCAGCCTCTTTCAGCCGAACATCGCACCACCACAGCGGAGCGGGCTGAGAAATGCGCAGGGTCATGGAATCCATTTATTCGTGCTCTTCAGGTGCATGAGGTTTTTCCACAAGCTGGCAGGGCTGATTGGGGCATAGAGAGTTTCATACGGACGGAGCGCTCAATTCCCTCAATTTTTATCGAACTTGTTACTTCTCAACTGTTACAAACCGGCATCTAACCACAAGAGACAGCGATGGATTATGCGGCCATTTTTCTACAAATGACGGGCCGCTTTTATCTCGATCTAAAACTCTCACCGGACGTTGTGACCTTTCCTCTGCTCTGAGGATCGAACTTGTTCAGTTCGAATTTAGCCAAACCTTGGTGGCATCACCGCTGCCCACCCGCAACTGGCTGTGTCACAGCTAACCTCTATGGCTGGAGGTCGTACCACAATTCACAACCGGAGGGGTGGAAAGGGGCAGCGGCTAATACGCCGGCTTCTTACATTACAGTATAAAAACTGTAATTCTCAGTATATGTATGCTTCACGGTGGTGATTCACAGTATACACTAATAATCCTTGATTAAGGCGTTGAATAAATTTGCTCTGGCGAAATTGCTGCCATAGGGGAATCTAGTGGAATGGGTAATACAAAACGTCCGGCAATCTGTTACAAATACCCGTATGGCGTATTTCAGAATGGATTCGATCTTGACCATAATGTAGCAAATTTCACTTAATAACTATTGTCTGTATTTTTCAGATCGAAGACTTATTAAGGAAAGCGCCCTTCGAACTAGAAGATATTTATCATCATTTGGAGCAACTGACCTTAAGCGAAAGACCAAATTACGAATATGTTCGAAGAAAACTGGAAAACATTTTGCAACGGCGAGAAATCGACTCAGACGATCCCTACGACTGGGAGTTGAGCAGCGACAGCCTCCCTGCGTCTCCGAACGAACTGACCGTTGATGGCAACCGTTTTCGCTTCGAAGAAGAAACTACCGAAAGTGAAAAGACAGAGTTACGGACAGTCGAGCAAACCGAAACCGATCAAGGCGACGATACCAGCAAGAGTGTCACCACAATGCCTACCTTCAGCCCAATACGTTTGTTACTAAACGTCAGAATGCGATTTGCATAACATTACTAAAGCTAGAACTTGGGTAAATGGGATTACGCTGCACCACTGCTTTAATTAATCGATTCTTTCAATTAAACCTCCGGATTCATGAATCACAATGACTATTGTAGCCGTAGACACCTTTGCCTTAAGCGATCGTTAATGTTCAAATGAAATCAGGGTTACCTTTTACTGATTATTACACTTAATAATCAGCTACCAGTTCGGCAAAGGCCCAAGTGCAGCCACTGCTAGAGCTCATATCGAAGAATTGGCCGTGCACTTCGTCCTTATAGTATGGCTAGTCTACAATACCATATTTTCACTATTACTCACAGGCCGCTGGACTTATTGCTAGTTTCTCGGCTGGATGCGTCGAAGCTATATAGGATTATTCTTTACTGAAGCTAATTCATAGTTAAGCCAAAGATTTCCCTTGGGAAGATTCAAACCGAACACAACCGGACTCCAAGGTCAATCTCTAAGGTACTTTACAACCACGGCCAGTTAAATTGTTGAAGCTGGATATGCCTAGCTGCCTTCCATCAATATTGCTTCCGGAAGCGTCGTGCTGCTGCAAAGCGCGGCATATAACGATGATTAACGGTTCATTACTCAAGTGCTTCTAGAAAATAATACGAGTTTCCCTTTTTCAAGCAAAGAGTAATGGTGGTACACGTACAGAAACTGACAACGATGGTTGATTCATGACTAAGACACTATTTTATTCAAAATTACATGCGGT